GGGGGGGGGGGGGGGTCGGAGGGAGAACTGATCCCGAGGGAACGCGGTCGAGTCGAGTTGCTACCGGGGGCAGGAAGGCACTACTCGGACGAGCTGCTCTCCAGCCCTCATTTTCTCTCTTACTCTCTCTTTCAAATTCTCCCTCCTCTCCTCTCTCTCTCTCTTTCTCCTATATCCTCTTCCGCTTCTCTCGTGGCAGATCGCTTCGCTAATTTTCAGCGCGATCAAACATTATTTTCTGCCCCCCTTCCTGCCGCGCTATGCTTTTTACTTCTGGCGAAGCTCAGACACAAGTTTCACGTAACTGATATTGGGAAGTTTTCCGTTTCGCGGGGATAACTTTTAGACCTGGATTTCGTTTCTTATATTTGACCCCTACCGTATGGCACGATGGACCAAGGAAAAAAATAGCGGATGGAAGAACAGTTGCGAAACACGCAACGTCCGCTTTGGTTAACGTTTATAGACAATTGGTCGTGACATAGAATAATGATCAGGGGAAGAAATTGAATGAAAAAAAAAAAAATGAACAAAATTCCGCTAATAGTTTTGGGGAAGCTTTCACCTTTATATCGCTATATACCTTATCCATTATATATATATATTTTTTCATATACAGCCAACGGGCCTAAATTCCATAATCATCTACTACACGGACCATATGCATACATGCGTAATATGTGACTTTTTTTTTAACATGGAAAATTGTTCTCTGGAGATACCAGGAAACGACGCCCAACCCTACGTTCAGTGTAATACGATAAACCGGCATAACGCGAGTGCCTATCTCCCCAACAGATTTTTACCGAACAGCCACGTGAATTGGGTCGTAGGGAAAATAATTTTCAGGTGGAGCCATAGGGAATCCGGGTGAATCACCTGCAGACGAATCAGAAGCTGCGCCCTGATAAATTACAAGTTAATAAAGCCTCCCCTCTATTAAGCTACATCGAAGGGGCAATGTGGCAGCTGATAATGAGATGTATATGTCACTCTCTGCGACACCTCTCCCTATACATCGCGCACTGTAGGTGACTACGATAATTAATAGTATCTCCGTATGCTCCAGTCAGTCTAATTAATTTCTTAAACGAGTTCGCATGAAATTATCGCTCAGCCGTGAACCATCTTGATATCAGTCACTGTGCTACGGCGTGAGCCATTACCATTCCTAA